ATCGCTATTAGGTTGGAGGCCATCGCTATTAGGTTGGAGGCCATCGCCATTAGGTTGGATTCTATCGCTATTAGGTTGGAGGCCAACGCTATTAGGTTGGAGGCCATCGCTATTATGTTTGTGGAAGTTGCGATGACGAGGTACAGTTCGGAGAGCTGCCGTGGTTGCCTGCCTACATTTGGAACCACTGTTTTCATATTTCGATAGAACATTTCTGCACATGCTGTTGTCCTCCTGTCAAGGAACGTGCAGTAGGCTCAGTCAAAGGTGAATAAGCATGTTGCTTGGAATTTTTGGTTCGTTAAACAAACCAAAAGCTGGGCAGAAGGAGTAGTGACATTTTAATGCAGGAGGACCGTTGAACTTGGTCAGGTGAACTGTTCATTCCTGCATAGTGAATTGGTGGAAGTGTTCTGAGGAGGTGCTTGGGCGCATTGCCTCGAAGGGCAACTTTATTGCCTTTGCTGCGATCACGGGACGCTTGCAAGATCCTTCAGTGCCTTGGTCGAATCAACTCAACGGCTTGTTCTGGCATTACTGGAGTGTCCACTCTCATGACAGTCCAACAAGTAACAGTTCAACAAGTAGCGCAGACCAATCGCTCAAAGTCAAGTTCACAAGTCTGCGAAGCAGAAAGAAACCGTAAAGCCTTCGGAAGACCAGTTTCTCAAGGCCTTGGGAAAAAAACAAACAAGATGGAGCCCACGAACCCGAATGCAAACACGTTCAAAAAGCTACATATGTCCAAATGACACTCTTGTAGGACACTCTTGTGGGACACTCTTGTGGGTCACTCTTGTAGGAAACTCTTGTGGGACACTCTTACGGGACACTCTTGTGGGACACTCTTGTGGGGCACTCTTGTGGGACACTGTTGTAGGAAGCTCTTGTGGGACACTCTTGTAGGACACTGTTGCGGGACACTCTTGTGGGACACTCCTGTGGGGCACTCTTGTGGGACACTGTTGCGGGGCACTCTTGTGGGACACTCTTAAGGGACACTCTTGTGAGACACTCTTGCGGGACACTGTTGCGGGACACTCTTGTGGG